GTGTAATACCTTCCCAGAGAAGGTTATACATTAGTGATGGTTCTTTGAGTGTCAATGTAATTACCTAATTGATGCTTTATAAATACAGAAAGCAGGATATACTGTACTAGAAGTTGTGTATGAGTTGTTCCTTGCTTTCAGAAAATGATGGAAAGAACTGCTAATGATGTATGATGGAGCAAGCCTGGTAATATGATCTTGGCACCTACTTCATGAATTTGTTTTTTTTGTTCTGGTAGTTGATAAAAAAATCAGATGGGGATATTGCTGTATTTGGTGATGTGGATTTATGGTCCCAAAGAGTTTACCTTCTAATTAAATATTGTTACTGTGAGTTAATTTAGCAAACTATGAGAAAGGAGATGAGGGAACAGAATAAGGATGTGAGGAATGAGCTGAAGTAGTCATACAGTCTACCTACATAAACAATGTGGTGATTGGAATTCTTTGGAAGTTTTTAATCTTCATACTCTCTCAGCAGGTTTTCTTTGTTGTGCTGCTAACAATCCCTTGTTACAGTGCTGCTGTATTATTTTCCTTTGAATATAGCAATGGGATAGATATTGTCTCAATTATTTTCCTGAGAGAAACTATGTGGGGTTCCTCATGCAAGTCGTGTTTCAACTGAGCCCTCACCAGGACAAGACGTTGCCATTTCTGGGCCTTACAGTAGCTGCCTGAAACCAGGGAGAGTGGAAATAGGATGGAAGAGGGGAGAAAAGAAGGGTGTGTGACTCTCTTTCTGTAAACCTGAAGACAGACTGCTTCATGTTACAGATAAATTAAAACATTAGACATTACTATTGTGTTATTTTTGAACTGTGATGTACTCTGACATCTTGATGGTAAAGCTCATGTTTTGAGTCAGGTTCTTAAATCTCTAATTTCCGGGTTGTGGTGTTTTTTTTTTGTTTTTTTTTTTACTCTAGTAACTATGTTTTTCCTCTCTATCTTAGTAACATCTCTCCAATTTCATGCTAAAAGTAGCACTGTAGTGTTGCATATTATCTTTCAATGACTACCCATTAAATTTGATCAAAGCAAAGTGAGTGTTCTTATTGACCATGCAAACAGGGTCATTCTTATTCTTTCTGTCTCATGCATTGATTGTGCTATCAGGACTTATGCTGGGGGTTATTAGAAACTGGATATATACCAACCACTGTAGTTAGGTTTACCATGATATTTAAGATAGCTGTCTTGGTTACTGTGGGAAGATCCACATATATAATAAATGTAGTGGTATGCAAATGTCAATTTTAGCGATAGCCACTACAGTTAGCAATTCTCTTGGTGACATATGAGTTAGACAAGAATTTTGTTTGTATTGCCTCTGAAGTTAAAGAGATTAAAAGACAGGTTTATCTCTCCCTCCTCTTCCCCTCCCTCCCCCCCACCTTATTATTTGGGGAGAGTAAGTAATGGTTTTAAAACTGGTATGTGGGGTTTTATTTTAGTTTTTTTCTTTTATTCTGTTTTGATGTGAAAAACACAGAATTATTTTTCTGGCTACCTGTTACCTTAATTTGAGGGAATCCTGTACCCCCAAGAAAGTATCTTTTTTCTTTGCCCTTTGATGCTCTTTGCCTTTCTGAGTCCAAAAATGAGTACAAGACCAAATTCTGAATTTAGGTTTTTCTCAGTAAACCTCTATTTCTTTTTAAGTTTATCTTTGTTTTGGTAAGAAATATGTGATTTAAGAGAGTAGTTATAGCAAAATTGCAATAAGAAGCATTTGATATTATTTTAAAGTAACTGAGGGGACTGGAGTTGTGGAACACACAGAAATATAACCTGATCAAGCAAATGTGTAAGAAAAAAATTACAGTTTTTCTGTGAGTTAAAAAGATGATAATTGTCTGCTTATTGGGTTCATTTTGTAAATTGAGATCAATCAAATTCTTCCAGCAACAGCATGAAATCAATTGTAAAATAACATATAATTCATGCCCTATATTGTAAATTATGGTTTGTTTGACATTAATCACTGAGTTTTTCATGCACTGGGATGCGTTTTCTTGTACCACATTTCTGGATAATGCTTGTGGATCCGTTTCTAATGTGTTTGAGAGTGATCTGTTTTTCATGTCCACAGTTGCCTACATTTGATCTTATGCAAATCATGCAATCAAGCAAATGGTAAACAAGGTGTTGTTGCTAGAGGACCTTGACAAACAGCAGCTTTGTAGTTTTAAGAACCTCCTCCCTCCTCATTCAGATTCATCTTTGTATCTGTAGTTGTTTGAACCCATCGATCCATTATGAAACACTGTGAACTTTAAATGGGAAAATATCTGCCATATCAGATTGTGACTAATAATTGCATCAGTTACGATGTAATATGATTTTTATTGTTCAGCTTGTCAGTTTCTGATTCTAAGCTTTTAGAAATACTACCTACACTATATTTGCGGGCTCATCCAAACCTTTGAGTGACATTCCTAAGTCTCTGATTTCTGTATTTTCTTCTCCTGCTCCCACTAGCTTAATTTTTCCTTTTAGCCTTCACCAAAATATTTCGGATTCCATTGAAACTTTCTACTTGGCATTTATTAGTTAAAATACATTGACATTATTAAATCAAGCTGAGGAATAGACATTTCCTTTCATCCTTGTGACATGTTGCTTTTTTACATATTTTATCTTCCTACCCCTTTTTTTTAACCTCTTCTCTCCTTCCCTCCTCTCTCAGAATGTTTGTCAGTTGATCCTAAAGGATCTCGCTGCTCTTATGTTCTGTGTTTCCATTCCTTGTTGTTTCAGTTCCTTTAAACTTTGCTTGTATTTTCTTTTTTTGCTTTTTCCATTCCAGGGACTGAGACACACACAATGACTTATAGTCACTTATTTTCACGGAGGGAAATAAAACATATTTCTATCTTCCATTCTCTTTATCCTTGACAAAGTTCCTCCCTCTTCAAATTTAACTAGGTATTTCCAGAAACTCTTATGAATGCAAGTAGTCTCATCAGCTACAGTGTGCGTCAAATCAGGGTTTCAGTACAAGCTGGTGGTTTTTGTTTTTTTTAAAGCAGTTCCTTGGTGAAGAATTTTCATTAAAGGAGAGAAAAGTACCCCTCCCCAAAGCCCATCGCAAACAGTGATCTACCGTAAGCAATTGGTAAAGCAGAAATCCACTTTTTTCTCTTTTCTCTTCCCTTGTGTTATATTCAGTCTGCTAAGTGAAGCCCCACAATACAGGTTCAACTTGGAGATACAATATAGTTTCAACGTGTATTCACTGTTTACAGGGATATGAATTAAATAGGTGCCATGGATTGCTTTCAGCTCTTTGTTTTAGGATTGCTAAAAGTGAAATCATTCTGATCACTTGTTTGCCCACCCAGAACATGGAGTATCTGATACTTGTCTCACAGACTTCCATCTCCATCTGTTCTTTTTGTGGCTGCTCTGATGGCAGCTGCAAAGAAGAAGGTATCCAGGAAGGTGCACACTAATGAAGGCAATGCAGTTGGTGCACTATGTGGAGTTCACTTTCTCTGCTTGCTGAGCCAGCTTGGGCACCTGCTCTGGGTGTGCTTTCCCCCTCTCACCCACATAAGCACTGCTTAATCCTGGTAGAATCAGCCCCATTATGTTGATTAAACATGTCACTGTGTTACAGGCATTCACTTGATGATTTTTTTTTTTTTTTAGTTACAGCGGGTTTTTTGTTTTGGTTTGTTTTTTGTTTTTTTTTAACTCACACTTTCCCATTGTGACATTTAACTCACATTGTCCCATAGGACAGTAGCACTTGGTGATACTGCTTTTTCAATAAAAATGCACGAGTACGTTCTCTTCTCACACAGACTGGAGCAAATCAGAAGGAATTCTGTTGCAGCAGGGACATTATATGAGTGGAAAACTAATGAGAAAGAAGTTGGGTCTATAACATTTCTGCTTCAGTGATGTCTTTGTCATCCAGTTGCAGTTTTTGAATTTGTGCTTACAGATATTTGTACAAAATGATAGTTTGATACTATTTGGTTCTGAAAACACTGGCATTTGTTATATCTTGCAAAACCACAGAACTTCTCTGGCACACTAAAAGCGTGTATCTATAACATTTGCATTTAACTTTTATACTTTATACTACTGCCAAAACCTCAGTTTTAAATTCCTTCTTAAAGGATTTGCTCATTAAAATCTGTGATGTGTATTTTAATAAAAAACTGAAAGAGAGTAGAAAATTATGTCTGCATTACTTTCCTACTGTAATTTTTCTGACAAACATCCCTTTATTAGTACAGGGAAGAATAAATGAAGCTAAAGATCTTTTAGAATATTTTTTCAGCAAAGATGCTACATTTTATTTACCATTTTCTGAAGTAATTGAAACTCAAGACAGCTTCATAATAAATAACTATTTAACAGTTGTTTTGCTATAGCATTAGACAGGTAGTCTTTACTGAAATATATTTTACAAATGTTTGATATTCATGCAGCTGAAAACAAATAGGCAAAGAGAATAGACCAGTATGAGTGGTGGCAACAATGAGCTTCCTTTGTGTTCGTGCTTATAGAGAAATCTGCATGGAGTGAATCATTGATGCTTGACATTCGTGTATCATACAGCACATTTTTTAAAAAAAATATGACCTGGTTGTGTTAATGAACATGTACTTGTTTTTCCATTAATTGGATCTGATTTAATAATTTTAAAGGTGTTCGTTTGCCACTGTAGCAAATTGATATAGTATGTATCACCTAAGAGGCTAACATCTTTGTTTTGTTAGTACGTTATAGTGTAAATGTACTGTACAATGGGGTCGTCTCAACCAAAGCATGCTCTGTAGATCTATTAGTAGTCAAAATCTGCAGTTATTTGCTATTAACCAGTCAGCACCTATTCATTCCTCTGGGAAAATCTGAAACACTTAAGACGTACAGGTCCCTCTTCTTCTTGATTTTCTGAATTCACTGTTCTCTGAAAATTACAGAAAAACATGATAAAACTGATAAACCAAATAAATTCATATTCCTTTTTTCCCCCCTAGATTTAGGAGTTTTTACACCATACCAGTTTCTGCTCACTGCATGCACGCTTGCTGGCTGTACAAACAGTTCCCAGGTCACCTTGTTTACAGCACAGCTGCCACCGTCTCACGTAGATGCCCCGGTCCTGACGGTTTTGGATTCTAGAACAATATATGTACAGTAAGTAAGGATTTCTTCTTTTCTGACAACACAATAGTGCATCAGTTTATTCAAGAATTCCAGTGAGTTCAATCAGGGGAAGGGTTTGTGACATAAAATTAAATTTATTATGATTAAATGCATAGAAGTGATTAGTTTAGAGGTTCTGTGAACCTTCTGATTATCACTTGCCAACTTAATTTCCATTTTGCTTTACGCAATCAGTATAACCTACATATGGGCATAGCCTCAGCAAACTTCAGTGCAGGAAATGTTCTGGTGATGTGCCCATTTTGTAGCCCCTGCTTTGTGTGTTGCTATAATAATTTATCTATTGAGTACACATACTGCATTACAGATATGCCTTAGGTTTCTTTTTATGGTAGCAAAACTATGTTTCTAAATTCTTAAAATAAACCCCGAGAAGTAACCTAAACAAAGCCTTACATTTTTCAGTATGGTCTGAATCTTTACTGGTCTTAATCATATTTTGCTTTTATTTGCAGATGGAAGGAACCAGTAGAAGTAAATGGAATCCTAGATCGCTATATGATATATATTGCCAAGAATGAGGAGAATTTTACAGAGTGGAATGTAATCTATAACAGGACAGAACTTTTTCTGGATTTTACTATTCAGCAGCTTTCCCCGGGTACTGAATACCTCATAAAACTAGCTGTAAGTTTTAAAGATGTGTAGTAGAGGTGTAAAATGGTGAAAATTATTCTGATTTTGTTAACATCTTAAATACTTAATAGTTCATGTGTCCACTTTGTTTAACCTCTTCTTTCTGAGACTAAGGTGGGTGAGCCATCCTGAACAACTGTAGGTGTTTTGTTTCAAAACAGGCCCTCAAAAAATGTGTATGTAATTTAAACAGAGATTTTCTTTGAGGATAAGTTGGATGACCTGAAATGTATGAAAAAGTTAGAAAAATGTCTTCTGCCCCCAACTTACGAGAAAATGTTGAATGTGTTCAAAAATGTTAGTCTTTCATATTTTATACCATGATAATTTGCTCTTTCTTCATAAAACCTGCATGTAGAAGGAAACCACAAAGGAAAAGAGGTCAGTGTAAAGTGGCAGTTTCCTTATTGAAAATATTTTAAAATACCTTGGTGTTTTCATTGCATTTCTTTATCATTGGTTTTCTTTTGTGATTAAATAGAACAGCTTCAGCTCACTAACAAACCTGAAAATATGTGCATAAAAGCATGGGATTGTCCCTTGTTTTAAGCACACTGTTCATTTTATAACAATACCTATATAAGGATATTTGCTTTGATAAATGCCATAGAAAAATATTCTGCTCTTGATTATGAATAAATTTACATTTATGTAGACTGGGTATGCATTCATTTTTTCTTAACATGCTCTTGAATGTTCTAAATATTATACCACAAAAAAATAAACTACCTTCAGGTAATGATAAGGATTTTACTTGAACTTGAAAAAGCAAGGATATTCAGTCTAATTAAACCTCAGATTCATGTTGAAATTAATTCATTTGTGCCTAGGCATTTCAGCATAGTGAATTGTATAGCATATAAAATAGCACCATGTCCAGAACTAAGACAGTGCAAGCATTTTGTGCCTTTAAAAGCAAGCAGGACTATCAAAAGAATTTGTGCCACAGTTCTCTGCTTCTGCCCAGCTCCTGTGCAAGGAGGCACAAGAAGAGAGGATTGGGGAGAATTAACAGCGAGGATCTGGAGAGCAACTGGGACTGCTTCTTTTGGTGGTTCTGCCTTGGGATATGGTTAAAACAAAGAAGTGTTTCATGGACTTTGTTTTTACTTCATCACCATGGACAGCTTTTCTAGAAGTTACTGAATACATTGTTATGGACCTTTGATCTTTATATTTTATTTCTCATTTCTTTGAGGTGGTGTTGTTTTGTTTGCTTGTGGTTTGGTTTTTTGTTTGTTTGTTTTTGGTTTTTTTTTTTTTTTTTTTTTTTTTTTTTTTTTTTTTTTTTTTTCAATTTGTGCTTTGTTTTTTTTTTTTTTTTTTTTTTTTTTTTTTTTTTTTTTTTTTTTTTTTTTTTTGTATTTGCATTGCATCAGTGGTAACCAGAAAGTAAGAAAAGATTGTTTCTTCTGGTGCTGAAGATAACCAGATTTACCTGGATAAAATGCAGTGCTCGGTGTTAGGCACTTTAAAGTTCTAAATTGTATTTAGAACTTGTCAGACTAGTTTGTGAAGAATGTAATATTAGTGATTTACAAGTTATAAAGCTTAAACATGGCTAAATATGAAAAAACCAAACCAAAAACCACAAAAAACCAAACCAAACACACGCACCTGGAAAGAAATCAAAATATTTAGTGTTTCACATGTAATTTAATCTGAATGTCAGTAAAACTTTTAAAGTAAAAACAACAATAGCATATCTTCAACACTGGAAACTTAATTAAATGCTTCCTGTTTTTTTGGTTAGAATGAAACGTTTCTATCAGCTAGAATGTTTTTCTTTTCCTTGTTTCACAGGTAGTATTAATTTTGTTTTGTATCCATGCAAAAGTTGGTTTTGGTTTATGTGGGAAATTGGAAGTTGAGTTATTAAATTTGCAGCTTTGAAAGAAAAACCCCTTCACTGCTGAGGAAGACTCCACAGAACTTGTTTAGTAAGGCAACAAGAAATGTATGAGAAAGAGGTCTTCCCAAGCTGGATTTTTTGACTTCTCCATGAAGCCAGTAGAAGCAAAATAATCTGAAGAATAGTCTGCTTTGCTGGAAGGATGTTGTTCTTAAATATTTTCCTTATTAAATGCTAACAATTATCTGAGCATCCATTTAAGCTGACGTTATTTATTTATTTATTTTTTTATAAAACCACTGTTGGGTTTAAAGTAAATGCCATTTTCAGATGTTCCCAAAACTGAGGTTGTGTTCTTTCATCTTTATTTGTTAGCCCAGACGAACACAGGGAGTCATTTTGTAGTTGTATTGCAAGTGTAATTTCTGGTGAAATCAAAACAATCGTGGTGTATAAAATAGCCTCATTTACAAACAGTTCTTATTTTTACCCACGGGGCTAGTATACACTTTTGGAGTGGGGTAGGAAATATATTGACTGCTCTCTGATTTGAAACACATTGGGAAATGGGAAATTGAAGCTAATCCTTTCAAATAAAATATACTAGATTGAGAGAAACATTTTTTTCCTTGAGATCCGAACAGCAAGGTTATTTTTCCTTTGTGTGCTGATGATCCAGAGCAGGCTACTTGTCTGCTTCAGCACATGGGCAAATCCTAAAAACACAGGTGATCCCATAAGTTTTAGTTAAGAGTAGGTCTGAATCTGAATCTTTGTTGAATTCGAGTTTTGATTTATTTTATTGCTAAAAAATAAAATTAAAAACAAACAATCAAGTAAAACAAAAAAAAATCTTTAAATCCAGTGCAGAGTTAATATATTCTTATATATATATA